GGCAGTACCCAAGATTTAGGGCTTAAGGGGTTTAGGGTGGAGGATCCCTAGGAACTTCAGTACTGTAACTAGCTTTGCAGAAAAATGGTTCCTGAGGGAGAGGGCTCCTTCCGTGGGTTCTGTGCTGTTCCGTCGTCTAAGCCTTAGCTGTCTGTGCTTTTGTTTTGTGCAGGGCTTCATGAGAAAATGGAAGCTATCAAATATCTTGGAGTTATTTCACGGGTATATAGGGATAATGGGCAAGAACATGGAATCTACTACATTATCATAGGGTATACATAAACCCTAAACCCTCATTTTCCAAAGGAACCTAGGTTCTCTCTGAAATACGGAAGCTCCTCCTATGCAGTAACCCTAAACCCTTATTCAGGGATTAGGGTTTATGATTTGGGGGTTAGGGATTTAGGGTTTAGGGTTTAGGGATAATGGAAACAAAAATGGAAACTACTATAATGGGTTCTATATGGATTATAGGGATATATTGGGGTTATAATCTCGCTGAAGGTGGCAAGGACGTTGAATGGTAAAGAGGTTAGCAGGAAACTTTGCCATACTAAGTGGTTTCCATACATGGGGGGGGCCCAACATCGACCCCCAAATACTATAATCCTTAGCAAAGGACGCCAGAAAGGTACCCCAATTTTTTCGGAAAGCTTGGTCCCTTAATCCCCTATATAACCACAGCTTCCATGGGTTTAGGGTTGAGGGTCCATGTTCTTTTCCATTCGATTCTCCATTGTTGGTAATATCCCTAAGCCCCAAACCCTATTTTGCTAGTGGGGTTCGCCCTTCGGCGAGAGGGAAGTTCGGAGATCTGCTTACGGTGGTCTGTATTTCATGCCAGAGAGGGGCTTTATGAGGAATAATGGGAAAGCACATGGAAACTGCAGTATCATTGTAGACGTTATATAGGGGATTATGGAAAAATGGAAACTATTACCTAAAAGAGTAATGTCCATTTTCTTATCCCTTATTCCCTACATAATCCTTAGATAACATTATTAGGGTACATACATATATACATATATCTGTTTCATTTATTCTTATGGCAGAAGATTCCGGCCCAAGCCGGGTGGCCATACGCCTCAGGCTCCTGACCCCCACAGTTTAGGTGTGGGATTCCCCAATTTCTTGCTGGTCAACAGAAGGCTTTCTATTGGGTACTAGGGTTTAGGGTTTAGGGTTTAGGGTACTGCCCCCACCCAGTGACAGTCTATATTAGGGGTCCTATTAAGGGTTATATAGCCATATTATAAGTATTATCCAACTGTTACTGAGGGGGGGGCAGTACCCAAGCTTTCTGGTAGGACCCAATTTCTTGCTGGTCAACACGAGGTTTTCTAGTAGGAAATCCCACAAGAGCCCCTGATGTATGAGATGGCCCTTGCTTGCAGGCGTCTGAACGATACCTTCGCCTGGGCCACGTCAACCGCTACTGCAAGTATAGGGCTCAGCATCCACTAGATTCCCTCAGGGTTTAGGGTTTCCCGAAATAAGGGGGTGTTTCTTGGGGTCCCTAGAATTAAGAATTCGAGTTTTCGGGGGTCTATGTTGGGTTCCCCCCTCCCCCTATTGATGCAATTTCAGGCTGGCCCTCAAAGTCCTGGAAACCGAACCCCAGTCCCTAAACCCTAAGCCCAAAATGGTAGCTTCCATTTTCTTTTCATTAATAAAAACATGTATACATATCTACATGCTCTATGAGGCAATATCCCCAAAAAGGCCCTATATCCGTAAAACCTATAAACCCTAAAAAGACCCATTAAAGGGTTTAGGGTGGGAGGGTTCAGGGTCTACCCCAACAACCTTCTAGGGGACGGTGCAGGCGGAATTCTGGAACCCGAAGCCCCAAACTCCAAACCCAGCAGGCCTGCGACCTCCTTCATCCATTTCGCGCCCTCAGGGTTTAGGGTTCAGGGTTTAGGGTTTAGGATTCAGGGTGTAGGGTCTACGGTTTAGGGTTTAGGATCTAGGGTTTACGGAGTATCATTACTGGTATTAGTAGTATTAGAAAGTACTTTTCTGATTATTTGCAATGTTATTAGTAGTGTTAAGCCCCAAGCCTTGGAGTCAGCCAGCCCTGCTGCCGTGGGCAAGCGGGAGTAGCAACATGTGTCCTGCCGATCTGGAAAGTGGTCATTCGAGGTTTGGGGTTTAACCCAGACCCCTGATTAATAAACCCCCGCCCCTTAATAGGGATTATGATAGGGATCATAATACTTAGGCCCTTAAAAGGAGAGGGTGTATTAATCATGGGTCTACATTAGGGTCTAGAGTTTGGGGTTCAGGGTGTAGGGTTTGGAGGAGTATTTCCTTGTTGCTCTTGAAGGTGCTCCATGTCCTGTGGAGCATTCTCGCGAATAATTGCTAATCAGTATGGACCCTAATCCCCACTGATACCCTATGAAGCCATAAGAATCTAATCGTTGTAGGGGCCGGAAATTTATTTCAGTTAATAGGAGATTTACAGCGACTACTGACTACGGCTACTGTTATTCCTGCTGCTGCTACTACTGCTACTTGTACTACTGCTGCTGCTACTACGACTGCTGCTACTACTACTGTTGCTAAACCCTGAACCCTATTCTTTAAGCCCTTTTCCCCATCCCTAACCCACGTGCAGACGACAGCATGCAAAACGTAGGACCTGAAGCCTAAGTGATAATTTCTAAATACTTGAAACAAAAGTAACAGTTGTAATGATTATAACAGTAATATAAGTAATACAAGTACTGATACATGAACCAACGCTACAATTCGTAGACTTTCAGGTGTTGTCTTCGCGCTGCTGCTGTGCTGCACCTGCAGGGTAGCAAGTCTGAGGCGGAGTACTACACCCAGCAGGCGCCAATATGAAAGTTTCCACAAAAAGAGGTATTCGCAATAATGAAAGGTTCAGGTTAAAAACGCTAGGGAAAACTTCTGAAAACTTGACATCCTAAGCGATCCCCGGCAGGCATGTCAGCGATATACCGGGAGTATCAGGGGATTACAGGGCACTGTCAAGCATCTTCGAGACATAGCCCAGAGAAGCTCTTACCTCTGACAGACGGACAAAGGCCTCACGCTTCAGTCTACGGGGTTATTCTCAAAATTATGGGCTTTTTTTGGGGGTATATATATATATATCTTTATAATATTGCGGCACCTCATATTTACGGGTACCAAAACGGGACCCTGATTTTGGGAAATACCCTACTACTTCCAACTACTAATCTCTAAGGCCGACCATTCATGGGTTTAGGTTTAGGCTTTTGTGGCAAGTAGCATGGCAGGGTGCAATCCCAGGTAGGTCCTTCTTGGGTAGAGGGTTCGCAAGTTGCGCCATCCAAATGTTAGGTTCTTCTTGTTCTCAAACAGGGACAGTCCCAAGCCCCAAACCCTCATGTTGAGAGATGCCCAGGTGACAGCTATCAGGCGAATATATTTGGGTTGTTGTTGAATTGCATTTTGCGTGTTAATAACGTATACCCAAACCCACAACCGACTAGAAATGCTAGGCTTAAATCTTGCAGCGGCAGTCTTTTCAGGAGAGATGGGCGTTTCCAAAAACTTCCAAAAACTAGGGACCCCTCTTTGGGACTCCCTCCGATAACGTTATACGTAGTCCCCCCTAAGTAGATAGATAATGTGGCTTTGAACATTATAATCAGATCCCCATATACCCAATATATTCCATCTACTTAAGGGGGACTATATAGCGATGCGGTGTATTTTGCTGAGCATCCCCACTTTGGAAGCCTCCCATCTAAACGCTTTGCAAGATTCCAGAGAGGTTTTCTCACATACTCCTTGGTTTAGGGTTTTGGGTTTCGGGTCGAAACTCCTAGTATCCCCCTTAATAACGGAGAGTCAAATGGAAAAGAACATGGAAAATGGACTGGAAACTAGGGTTATGTAGGGGATTATACGAGCTATAGTCTAGATTCCTTCAAGGGGGTCATATAGGGGATTCTTTTGAGGAGTATTGTAGTGCTTATTACAGACCATGGCTCATTTGGTTTAGGGCTGGCCTTGTGCCACCTGGAAATTCCTCCCAGCCAGAATATGAGCTCCACTCACTTTAACTAATGGTCAAGGGAAATAAAGATGGTGGACATATTCTGTTATGGTAATTGAAGATCGTCTACCTCACGCCCTTTATCCTCCCTTGATGATAGGTAGCATGAGAGACCATCTAGGGTTTCTGGCTCAGGGCTGTATCGTGACACGGAAGGCCTTGAACAAGCTCAGTGATGCTCCGGTTTCATCACTGCTGGCCATCTGCTACCACAACCTGGCGGCATCTTGTCACGGAAGATGTGCTCGGATGCTTAATATTACGTACTAGTACTATTAGTATTATTATTGCTATTCCTATTCGTATTATTGTTATTTCTAGTACTATTAGTATTATTATCATTACTACTATTACTATTAGTATTACTATTATTACTACTANNTATTACTACTATTATTATTACTATGCTCACACGTTTCAAGATTGCCTGCGGGCCTGCCCCCTCCTAGCGATGCCATAGTCAATTCATATGTGCATCGTTAACATACCTAGTCTTGCAGCACCGAATCTAAGAGTCGGAATGCACAGAGCCATGCTTTTGGCTTTTCGGAAGCAGTGTAGTTCAGATTCACGGCGTCACGCTGTAATCATGGAGGTTTCCCAAAATTAGGG